TTGCTCCCCCTGATACCAACGATGGGGCACTATTCCTCCCACTGACACCAATGATGGGGCACTATTCCTCCCACTGACACCAACGATGGGGCACTATTCCTCCCACTGACACCAACGATGGGGCACTATTCCTCCCACTGACACCAACGATGGGGCACTATTCCTCCCACTGACACCAATGATGGGGCACTATTCCGCCCCATTGACACCATCAATGATGGGACACTATTCCTCCCACTGACACCAATGACGTGGCACTACTCCTCCCACTGCAAAATTACAGTTATGAAGTAGCAACAAAAATTATTTTATGGTTGGGGGTCACCACAACATGAGGAACTGTATTAAGGGGTCGCGGCATTAGAAAGGTTGAGAACCACTGCTCTATGGGGTTCAGGTCAGGCGAGTTTGCTGACCAATCAAGCACAGTAATCCCATGGTCATTGAACCAGGTTTTGGTGCTTTTGGCAGTGTGGGCAGGTGCCAAGACCTGCTGGAAAATGAAGTCAGCATCCCCATAAAGCTCGTCTGCGGAAGGAAGCATGAAGTGCTCCAAAATCTCCTGGTAGACGGCTGCGTTGACCCTGGACTTAATGAAGCACAGTGGACCAACACCAGCAGATGACATGGCTCCCCAAATCAACACAGACTGTGGAAACTTCACACTGGACTTCAAGCATCTTGCAGTGTGTGGCCCTCCATTCTTCCTCCATACTCTGGGTCCTTGGTTTCCAAATGAGATGCAAAAGTTGCTCTCATCAGAAAAGAGGACTTTGGACCACTGAGCAACAGACCAGGTCTGTTTTTCTTTAGCCCAGGTAAGACGCTGCTGACGTTGTTTGTTGTTCAGTAGCGGCTTTACAAGAAGAATACGACATTTGAAGCCCCTGTCCAGGATCTGTCTGTGTGTGGTGGCTCTTGATGCACTGACTCCAGCCTCAGTCCACTCCTTGTGAAAGTCCCAACACTTTTGAATGGCCTTTTCCTGACAATCCTCTCCAGGCTGCAGTCATCCCTGCTTGTGCACCTTTTTCTTCCACACTTTTCCCTTCCACATAACTTTCTATTAATGTCCTTTGATACAGCACTTTGGGAATATCCAACTTCTTTTGCAATTACCTTTTGAGGCTTTCCCTCCTTATGGAGGGTGTCAATGATGGTTTTCTGCACAACTGTCAGGTCAGAAGTCTTTCCCATGATTGTGATTCCTACTGAACCAGACTGAGAGACCATTTAAAGGCTCAGGAACCCTTTGCAGGTGTTATGGCTTAATTAGCTGATTAGAGTGGGACACTTTGAGCCTAGAATATTGCACCTTTTCACAATATTCAAATTTTCTGAGATTGTGGATTTGGGGTTTTCATGAGCTGTAAGCCATAATCATCACAATTATGACAAATCACGGCTTGAACTATCTTGCTTTGCATGTAATGAGTCTATCTCATATATTAGTTTCACCTTTTAAGTTGCTTACTGAAATAAATGAACTTTTGCACGATATTCAAATTTTTCGAGTTTCACCTGTATATGGACTCTTGTTTATATCACAAACCACTAGTTTTGGATGGAGCACCATTTTTATATTGTACATTTTTACTATCTGTTTGTATTTTATATTATATTGAGGACTATATTGTATTACTGCATATTTTATTATTTTTGGAGTGTTATTCACATTATCAGTTTTGGGTGGAGCACTATATGTACTACTAAGCATTTCACTGTTTACTATAGCGTTTTTGAGGCATATTTGCTTATTGTTGAGTAGAGATTACTTTATGGTTTATTAGAAGAGTCATTTAGCCAGAGCAGCACAATGCCATTTGATTGATTTTGCACTGGTTTATACATGTGAGAACACAGAGGTGATTGCTAGCAGCTCACAAGGGAAGAGTCCATAGGCTGTACAGGAGTAAATATTTGGGTTTCATTTTCACGAAGGCTACATTCACTTTGACAATTGGGGACCGGTCTTGGGGACACCAGGGACCGGTCTTACTGAACAGGGCTGGTGGCCGCAGCTACCCACTGAGAGCCGCAGGCAGAAGTGCCGCTACAATTCACAATTGCCCTAATTGCCAGTGTGAATGTAGCCCAACTGACTAACTGTCCCAATGACACACGGCCACTAACTGACATACTGTCACTAATACAAATACCTACACTCACTGAGCTAGGGCAAGCATTTCAGGAGTTAAACTTTTATTTATTTTTTTCTCCCCTTTAACAAATTCTTTGCTTGCAGACATGTCCTTTAGGGAGAAGGAAGATAGAATGTATGTTTTCCTCCTACTGAAGGGAAAGTGTGTTGTTTATCCTCTTCAGTGAGGAAAAACAACTCAGGGGCAGGCTACAGTTTGAATGATCCCTGTGATAGCCAATCAGAGGCTATCACAGAGTTCACGTGATTGGGATTCGGTTCTCCCAGGTCCCGATTGTTAGTTGGAGACCCAGGGCTGTCACACATAGTCCTGTCTCTGTGTTGGAAGTGCGCTCCACTCACAAACACTAGAATGCATATATGAGGCCCAGGTTTAAAGCCCACTTCCTGGGCACTGCATGTATGTTATTGTAAAAGGGTTAAAGCTGGCCATAGATGGTTCCAAAACCAGCAGCTTCCTGCTAAATCTCCAAAACTTTGAGCTGTGGATGGCCCTGTTGGCACAGCCCAGCTCAATAAAAGATCATTAAAACTTTTAAGGAGCTGGGTGATAAACTGGCGGCAGAACAGTGACTGCATCCAACCAGATGTAGTCACTGTTTGGGTATTCACACAGCCATGGGTTATTTGGCTATCTAAATAAAATAGCCAACACTGGAGGATTCCTCCATCTGTTCTGTGTGATGTGAATGGAGGAATCACAAGGCTGAACATGAAAAATCTTCCATGTGTATGGCTAGCCATAGGCTAGATTCACACGAATGTTCTGCCACAGTGTGAAAGTCAGTAGCAGGAATCTGCTGATTCCTGCTACTGTTTTTGACACCTGCAGTGTAAAGGGCACCCAGCAGTGATCACCCCAGGCTGTGTGAACAGCCATGAATAGCTATCCTGCTGACAACCTGTCATCGATATGCACAGCCTTGTTCTAGGTCATTTCTAGTTTATTGGGGCTCCCCTGATATGCACAACCTTGTTCTAGGTAATTAGGCCACTTCTAGTTTATTGGGGCTCCCCTTATGCGCACAGCCTTGTTCTAGGTAATTAGGTCACTTCTAGTTTATTGGGAGTCCCCTGATATGCACAACCTTGTTCTGGGTAATTAGGTCACTTCTAGTTTATTAGGGCTCCCCTGGTATGCACAGCCTTGTTCTAGGTAATAAGGTCACTTCTAGTATTTTTTTTTTGCGGGGGGGAGGGGGGTCCCTTGAAATACACAGCTTTGTTCTGGGTAATTAGGTCACATCTAGCTTATTGGAGCTTTCCTGATATGCACAGGTCATTTATATTTATTGGGCACAGCCTTGTTCTAGGTCATTTCTAGTTTATTGGGGGTCCCCTGATATGCACAGCCTTGTTCTAGGTAATTAGGTCACTTCTAGTTATTTGGGGTCCCTATACACAGCCTTGTTTGGGTAATTAGGTCACTTCTAGTTTATTATGCACAGCCTTGTTCTAGGTAATTAGGTCACTTCTCCCGGTAAGCACAGCCTTGTTCTAGGTAATTAGGTCACTTCTAGTTATTGGGGGCCCTGATATGCACAGCCTTGTTCTTGGTAATTGGGTCACTTCTAGTTTATTGGGGCTCCCCTGGTATGCACAGCTTTGTTCTAGGTAATTAGGTCACTTTTAGTTTTTTGGGGGTCCCTTGATATGCACAGCCTTGTTCTGGGTAATTAGGTCACATCTTTATTGGAGCTTTCTGATATGCACAGGTCATTTTTATTTATTGGGGGTCTCCTGATATGCACAGCCTTGTTCTAGGTCATTTCTAGTTTATTGGGCTCCCCTGATATGCACAACCTTGTTCTAGATAAATAGGTCACTTCTAGTTTATTGGGGGTCCCCTTATATGCACAGCCTTGTTCTAGGTAATTAGGTCACTTCTAGTTTTTGGGGGTCCCTTGATATGCACAGCCTTGTTCTGGGTAATTAGGTTGGAGCTTTCCTGATATGCACAGGTCATTTTTATTTATTGAGGGTCCCCTGATATGCACAGCCTTGTTCTAGGTCATTTCTAGTTTTTGGGGGGCTCCCCTGATATGCACAAGCTTGTTCTAGGTAAATAGGTCATTTCTAGTTTATTGGGGGTCCCCTTATATGCACAACCTTGTTCTAGGTAATTAGGTCACTTCTAGTTTATTGTGGATCCCCTGGTATGCACAGCCTTGTTCTAGATAAGTAGATTAAAGAAGAACTAAAAGGCAAAACATTTTTCATTTTGGCTGGAGAAAGGGAGGGTTATAACCCCTGTTAGGCTTTTTTGACCATCTGTGTCCCATTGGGGAGCTTTCCCTTCACTTCCTGTCCCATAGCCAAAACAGGAAGTGAACTAAAAACCCTCCAAAGTAGGGGAATCCTGGGGAGTCACCAGTGTCCCCGCGGGAAGATTTCACCTCTATTACTATTTCTGGTGACAACCCAAAATTTGTGATTTTCTCTTACTTTGACTTTTGACGATAATGGTAAACAGGACCAACCTAAGAGAGGCACAGACAGCAACACAAACCTGACAGGGGTTCTAATCCCTCTCCACTCTGTACAAAACTAAAAAGAAACGTTTAGTTAAACTTTAGATAATAAAAGAGATAAAAGACAACCATGAATCATGTACCAAAAACAACAGGCCAACCATGAGGGCACCATTGTATTTATGTCAGCAGTGTGAAGGACATACAGTACGATGACACCTACATGCAGTGTGCTTGTATATGTCACAGGACTGTCTAGGATACTGCACTGGCTGCTGGCTATTAGGGGTTAATAGCAGACAAAGCCATCAGTGAAGGAAATGACAATGATCTCCATGCCCCCCCGTACACTCTCCCCCGCTCCTCACCACACGAATGACCCCAGCTTTCCAGGTCAGTCTCAAACCACGGACCGCTAATGACCCAAACATGTCGCTGTCCTTCCCGGGACAACCTGCGCCGGGGTCCTTCCTTCAGTAGGCGCACAGAACGACGTCACTGGGAAGCCTCTGTGCTGCCTGCAGAATAAGGAGAGGAAATGCCTGGTAACTTCCGGTGAAAGCAATTGTAGAAGAAAGAGCGCTCTAAGGACGGGACTTTTATTCTTTCTTCTATACTCATTCATAGACATAATTAGAAAGCAGTGCTCTATAGTGTCCAGGTGTGCCTAAATTCCCACACCTATGCCAGCTTAGAAGAACTTGGTCCCTGGAAATGTGACCTGGAATATGGAGGCTGTCCTTTCCGAATACTAAACATGCTAGATACAGAATCAGTGTGACTGCCAGGAAAATAGCATTTTTTAAAATGAGAAAATGGCAATTATAGATTGATTTTAAATCCTTATACCAATACCATTTATTGGGCAGCCCTGGTTCACACTGGTGTGATTTGTCATGCGTTTTGGCAGTGTCAAATCGCATGACAAGTCGCTATCTGTTGTCAGCAACGGAGCCAATACTCCAACTTTTCTGTGCCGCACTGATATGAAAAAAAGGTTCTTGCACTATTTTTTGCAATTTCAGGTGTGACTTTCATAGACACCTGTGCATGAAGTCGCACAGATGTCATCCAAGTTGCACCTAAAATGGTTTTGAAATTGTGCGACTTCAAGTCGGATCCAGAGTGAACCAGGGCTTAAAGAAAAAAGTCATGGAAAGCTAGAAGTATGTTTGTTTTTATTCATTTATTTTACAAACCCCAATGGTTCTCCACATCAGTGTTTGGTGTGACAGCTGAAGGCATCGTGCACACAGAAGGTTAAAGTGGAACTAAGCCCATCAATTTACCAGTTTCAAAAAACAGTTACATTCCAAGCATGGAATGCTGTCACAGTTGCTTTTGAAGCCAACCAAACTCAAACCATCAAATGTCCGGTGTCATAACTGATCAGATGTGTAGCACCATGGTAGTTGAGGATTAAACAGAGGCTAAGATGGCAGTTTCCTGGGCTGAAAAACAATAAGACCATTTGACCTCCTGAAAGTTTTACCTATTTCATGACCAGGGCATATTTTTGCTATTCAGCACTGCGCTAATTTAACTGGCAATTGCTCGGTCATGCAACACTGTGCCAAAATGGAATTTATGTAATTTTTTCAAAAAAATAGAGCTTTCTTTTAGTGGTCTTGATCACCACTGGGTTTTTTTTATTTTTTGCGTTATAAAAAAAAAAAACCCACAAGGGGCAGAGAGAAATTTATATGAAGTTAATAAGCATGGTATTATTATTTAATGTAAGTTTAGTAACACTTTAATAAACCTGAATTTTTGCCACTGCAGAGCTCTACAATGTATAGATTCACACGTGTTGCTCTAATGTGTAAAATGCCTGTGGGTGTTTGTGTGCTAAATATGTTTTGCACTCACAGTGAACCACGCTTACTTCCACTTGTTACTGCTTGTTTTACCACATTGTACCAAAAAGCAACAGACTGAATCATCCATGAATGGTTACACAGGATTTTAATGCTACAACCAACTAGCTAAAAATCACCAATACAAGCCTAGCCTATACAGACACATGTATGTTATGTCTGACCAATGGACCACAGCTCTAATGCCACATTACCTGCTACAAGTAAGTGTAGATTTGTTTTTATATGTGTCTTCTCTTGACAACATACACTGCTCAAAAAAATTAAAGGAACACTTTTAAAACACATCAGATCTCAATGGGGAAAAATATCATGCTGGATATCTATACTGATATGGACTGTGTAATGTGTTAGGAACGTAAGGATACCCCATCGTTTGATGGAAATTAAAATTATCAACCTACAGAGGACTGAATTTAAAGACACCTGAAAATCAAAGTGAAAAAATGATGCAGCAGGCTAGTCCATTCTGCTGAAATTTCATTACAGCAACTACAAAACGTACTCAGTAGTTTGTATTAGGGATGCACCAAAATTCCGGTGGCTGAAGCGAAAACACCCCTTTCGACGAAAATGAAAAAAAGCACCAATACAGGTGCCGAAAAAACCCACCCCTCAAAGCCGCCCACTCCTCAAAGCTGCCTGTCCGCTGCCGACCGTCGCTCGGTAGTTCAGTCTTACCTGAGAAACCATCGATCCCAGCGTTGGGCATAGAGATGAGAGAAGGAAAGATGGCCGCCACACATCTCTATGCCTGGTTCTGGCCATTTTGTTTTCTTTTTTAAAGCACTAGATCAATGCTTTTTTTTGATCTAATGCTTTACACTGCAGATTAGAGATGTGGGGTCTTATTGACCCCATGTCTCTCCCCCATAAAGAGGACCTGTCACTAATTATTTCTAACACAAGGGATGCATGCATTTCTTGTGATAAGAATAAAAGCAATTGCAATTTTTTTTAAAAAGGAACAGTGCAAAAATAAAAAAAAACATTAAATACATATTTTTTTAAAAAGTTTAAAGTGCCCCCGTCCCCCCGTGCTCGCACATAGTGGTGAATGCATACGTAGGCCATGCCCATATATGTAAATGGTTTCAAACCACACATGTGAGGTATCACCACAAACATTGGAGCAAGAGCAATCATTCTCGCACTAGACCTCTGTAACTTTACACTGCTAACCTGTAGAAATTTTTAAAGCATCACCCATGGAGATTTTTAAGTACCGCTGTTTCACGCCATTCCACGAGCATACACAATTTTAAAGCGTGACATGTTGGGTATCTATTTACTCACCGTCACATCCACTTTCATATTTTACAAAACAATTTGGGTATATATTGTTTTTTTTTTAATCAAAGTGTATTTTTTTCCAATAAATATATATTCATTTTTAAAAACTGCACATTTAGGTTTCGGTTTTGGCACCCAAATTTTCATTTCGGTGCACCACTAGTTTGTATTGCCCCCATGTGCTTGTATGCATGCCTGACAATGACAGGGCATGCTCCGAATGAGACAACAGATAGTGAGCTGGGGTATTTCCTCCCAGATCTTCACCAGGGCATCACTGAGCTCCTGGACAGTCTGAGGTGCAACCTGGCGGCGTCGGATGAACCGAAACATGATATCCCAGAGGTGTTCTATTGGATTTAGGTCAGGCAAGTGTGGGGGCCATTCAATGGTATCAATTCCTGCATTCTGCAGGAACTGCCTGCATACTCTCTCCAGATGAGGCCGGGCATGGTCGTGCACCAGGAGGAACCCAGAACCCACTGTATCAGCGTAGGGTCTGACTATGGGGCCAAGGATTTTATCCTGATACCTAAGCAGTCAGGGTGCCATTGTCTAGCCTGTAGAGGTCTGTGCGTCCCTCCATGGATATGTCTCCCCAGACAATCACTGACCCACCACCAAAACAGTCATGCTGAATGATGTTACAGGCAGCATAACATTCTCTATGGCTTCTCTGCACTCTTTCACGTCTGTCACGTGCTCAGGATGAACCTGCTCTCATCTGTGAAAAGCACAGGGCACCAGTGGTGGACCTGTCAATTCTGGTGTTCAATGGCAAATGCCAACCGAACTCTATGGTGCCAGGCAGTGAGTACAGGGCCCTCTGGAGGACGTCGGCCCACCCTCATGAAGTCTGTTTCTGATTGGTCAGAGACATTAACACCAATGGTCTGCTGGAGGTCATTTTGTAGGGTTCTGACAGTGCTCATCCTGTTCCTCCTTGCACAAAGGGGCAGATACTGGTCCTGCTGATGGGTTAAGGACTTTCTACGGCCCTGTCCAGCTCTCCTAGAGTAACTGGCTGTTTCCTGGAATATCCTTCATGCTCTTAAGACTGTGCTGGAGACACAGCAAACCTGGCAATGGCACATATTGATGTGCTATCCTAGAGGAGTTGGACTGCCTGTGCAACCTCTGTAGGGTCCAGGTATTGCCTCATGCTACCAGTAGTGACACTGACCCTAGCCAAATGCAAAACTAGTTAAAAAAAACAGAAAGGATGAGTAGGGAAAAAAATGTGTCAGTGGCCTCCACCTGTAAAACCATTCCTGTTTTGGGGGTCGTCTCATTGTTGCCCATCTAGAGCACCTGTTGTTAATTTCTTTAACACCAAAGCAACTGAAACTGATTAGCAACCCCCTCTGCTACTTAACTGACCAGATCACTGTCCCAGGAGTTTAATTAACTTGATGCTATACTAAAGTGTTCTTTTATTTTTTTTGAGCAGTGTAGATTGTCAAAACTACATATATATATGGCTTCAAATTCCTGTTATTTTCAGCAATAAAAACTGAAAATTACTTGGCTAAAATTACTGACTATTAACCACCTCCCGTCTGGCCGTTGTATATAAACGGCCGGAGGGTGGCAGTGCAGTGGCTGGTGGACATTTATAACGGCCTCCCCGCCCCCTGCTTGTGCGCGCTCCCTGGGATTCGGTGCCTGCTGTGTCCTCCAGACACAGTAGAACACCGATCGGCGTATGGGACCTCTGTGGGAGGTCCCGATCATGTGATCACTGATTAGCCAATCAGTGATCACATGCAGAGTAGTAAACAAGATGTCACTTCTGACATCATTGCTTACTACGTGTGAAATCTGTGAATGATCACAGAGGTCACATGTTACAAGGCTATTCACAACAGCCTTGTAACGTGACAAGCTGTGACCAATCACAGCTCACACATTATTTCTCAATGACTGCAAGAATGTAGCCAGAGAGAAGGAGAAATGATTGCTTTTACAGCCTTTATGGGTGTAAAAGCAATCAGTGTACAAAAAAAAAATAAATATCGCCTCCCACAAGTAGTACAGTGTCACCATGGTAAAATAAAAATGTAAACAAAAGGTAAAAATTATTATTTTTGGTTAAAAACTAATTTGGGTTATTTTTTTTACTAAAAAGATAACTGAATAAATAGCCAAGATTTATGATAAAATATTATTTATTTGCAAAATATTATAAGAAAAAAACACTTTTTTTCAAAATTTTGGGATGTTTTCATTTATATAACAAAAAATATAAAAATCCCAGTGGT